AGGCTAATCCGTAACATTTTTGTCAATTATCAATGGCTGTCACAGAATAAAAACAATTTATCAGGCGGTTACTTAGGCAAAGAAAGAATCTTTGGGCCTTTTGCTGCTGTTGCTTACTTAACATACCGCTCTTTTCATTTCTCCGCTTTCACCGTGCGAAAATGTTTCTGTTGAAGGAACCTTTCTTCCGTGAAGTATATATATTTTTCTTCTTTTGTTTATTTTTGTTAAATATTCTTTAATTTAATGCTAAAAACCGCTAGTGGAAGGGAAAAAATGTTTCTCGCTGACGAAACTGAGAATTATATACTCCAAAAAAGTTTGTCCTCATTTTCGACATAAAAACAATACCCTTTAATTTTCTTGACCCACTGTAGAAAAAACGAATAGATTCTCATACTCCCTACAGTCGGAGTGTTAAAAAAGAACTACGAAAAATAGGATTAAAATAACTCGTGAGAACAGTATGGTTAAGAAAAGCTTCATATGAAGTCCACATCTGCGACAGGAAATTGAAAGAGCATTTGAAGAACTTTTTATTCTAGCGAAGGAAAAATGAACGGTTCACTTCCATCTTGAAAGTACTTTCTGTACTGAATTAATTCATCTTAATAAAAAAATGACTTGAAATATTATAACAGTAGCCATTTCTACCAGGTTACAGATATATGAATGCGTATAGACACCTTCCGGCTTTTTCCTCCTACCCTCTCTCCTCTGCTTCTTCTTCTCCTCTTCTCTTTTCTATTCTTCTTTTATCTTTAGATTAATGAACAAAGAAAAATACCTTTAAGTTTTACCTTCCCATAAAAAAAGATTTAATATGCACAACTTTCTGCAATAGTTTATTCTTTATTTCTTTCTCCATAAAGCTTTTTTTATTAAACGAAAAAAAATTCAATAAAATAAAAAGTTCAATTTTGGAATTTGACAGACAGTGTATTACGCACAACACCACTGCAACAAATTAAATTGAATTAAATGAAAGAAGCCTATTATTTGAGGTATATTGAATTGCTACTTTATTGTTTGCAGCCAAATGTTGCTACTGTACCGTCTGCAGCCCTGAACTATTAAATGTAACAAATCGTATGCAGCAAAAAACTGTACTTTTGGTCAAATTACAGTTAATTGACGACTGGAAAAGAAAGATCAGAAAAAGATGAAATGGATCAAAGTAATAATGTGTGCAGTATAAATCAAACATTTCAAAATTACATTCAAAAGTGAAAATTTAAAGCTAACAATTATTACTTTATCCTCTGAATAATCCTTCACCATTTAACACATCTTCTGAGTCGATTATAAAACTTCAAATTGTATCTATATTACTAAAACTGACCAATTTTAGCACGTATATACATGCGCTGGAAACTAAAATTACCGACCCATCATTCAATGGTGCATGACTTAAAAGGCTGACGGTTATTGCACTTTAAATGTCCGCCAAGTAAAATAAATCCATATACGCCCGCAAGTACAAGATAATCGAAATAAGTAAATACATGAGGTCAAAAAAACCTGAGTTATGTAACCAAAATTTGACATATATACTCCATGCCAGCCATGTAGAGCAGGCGGCAGGACTGAAAATTTTTGAAAAATGAAGGCCCACTACTTTCTACTCAGCCTTTTTTCTTTCATATATTTCCTTCTCACAGACTTTCCATCTTATCTACAATTCTGAAACCGTTAACCCTCTCCACATTTTGCTTCTTCTTTTTTTTCTTTCTGATGGAGCCGTGTCGAAAAGTCAACTTTTGCCCGTACTTCCCCAACCTTCACAAAAACGACAAGTGAACCTACTAAAATTAGTGAAACCAATGTAGCTTCAACAATTCAGTAGCAATAAGATTGTACCAACATTCCCAACAGTAATTTCAAAAACTGTTTTCTTTTCTCCAGTCTTTATATGATTTTTTTTTTAACTTTTAATTAATTTATTTTTTTTTCCAATTCCATCGTCTTCAGCGTGAAAATCGGTTTACAATAGCAAACAACAAAGAAGAAATATGTATTTCACGTCCATGTAACAGCAGTTTCTTGAAATCGTCCGTTGCTGATGCCAACATTGCTGCTAACGATAGCTCAATCGCAACAGCAACTGAGAGAGCCTGCAGTAAGGGACAAAAAACGCAATCCTATGCAGTGATATCGCAAATACACTTGGAGATCATTGGAAGGTTGCCAAAACGCTAGAGGTATAGCCGCGCAGTACGCCATTAGCTTCAATAAAATGCTATGATACGGCAATGAACGTATCCTCAAATTTTCTGTCTTCCTACACTTGACATTTTTTTCTTATGCCTTCTTACTTTTCTTTTCTGAATGACTGTTTTTCAGTTCAAAAACAGAGTCTGATTTCAGCTCACAACTGTCTGATGGCTGCGTGTATAATTGCATAATTTTTTTTTAATCCATTTGTTTTTTTCTTTTGTTTTTTGTTTTGTTTTGTTTTTGAAGAGAAGGGGAAAGGTTGATACCTGACCAATAAACTGATGATATTTTTTTTATATGCATTTGTTCCTGTTGAAATCTCAGTGATGTTTGTCTTGATTTTCTTTTTTTTTTTTTTTTTTTTTTTTTTTTTTT